TTTCATTAACACCAAAGTAGCTGAAACTGAATAACAACCCCCTCTGCTACTTAACTGACCAGATTCCAGGAGTTTAATTGACTTGATGCTATACTCTGATTAAAAAGTGTTCCTTTAATTTTTTGAGCAGTGTACTATATACAGTATTTTATATAATAAAGTTGTTGCAAACAAAAAAACAACCTTTCGAGGGGACTCAGAAAAGCACTTTTACTTACCCGATCCCCCACTCCAGCAGGCTCCTCCATACTGCACCCCTAAACTCCAGTGGTCTGAGGTCCCTTGGCAGCATCAAGACCTATGCAAGGCCCATAGCCTTACACTGGATGCGGAGATGCTGAGGAACAGACCATCACTGAAGCAGGGGAGATTGCTGTCTGCTGTTTTTTCTTTGAGATGGGCTTTAAACTGAGTGTAAGGGCTTTTTTCACTTCAGAACTGCTTTTCTCCCTATACAGTTCTATGGGGATGCTAAAGCAGGTCAAATGCAGTTGGACACCTTTGTGGGAAACGTCATCCACGCTCCCTTGGTCATGTCTGTTTTCCTGTGCATACCTCTCCAATTCAGTAAACTTATGGTGAGCAAGAGAACTATGTGAATTCATCATTGTGAAGTTTTGTTATGTATGCCAGGACCACACAATGTCTGAAGTCTGCAGTTCTCTGGGCTTTGGGGTATGTTGTGCCGACTCCCTTGTGGCCTTTGCTGTTTGTGCATCTGCAATAAATACATACAGGGCAGTGGTGTAGCTAGCACATCTGGCACCCAGGGCTGCTAATTTTTTTTGCACAACCCCCCCCCCCCAAAAAAAAAGATGATATGTGCTAATATAGTCGTACTGTGGGTGTTGTCAGATCTTTTTCTCAGGGCCTCCACGTTCCCCCACTCCTACTCCACGACCTCTAGACACCCGCTGTCCTAGTCCAGAGCTTCCAGACACCCCCTTTTCTAGTCTGGGACCTCCAAGCACCCCCTCACCTAGTCCAGAGTTCAGGGCCTCCTCTGCACCCCCCCCTCCAAGTCCAGAGCCTCCCCAAGTTCAGGGCCTCCTCTGCACCCTCCTCCAAATCTAGGGCCTCTTCTGCAGCCCCCTCCTAATCCAGGTCCTTTGACATGCCAACCCCCCTTTTCAAGTCTAGGGCCTCCTCTGCACCCCCAGTCCCGGGAATTCTCTGCACTCCCCTCCTAGTCCATGGTCTTCTCTACACTCTGCCTTTGGTCCCAGGACTCCTCTGAACCCTAACTCCTAATCCTGGGCCTTCTTTGCACCCCCCTCATCCAGTTCCTTCTCTGCACCCCCCACCTTCCTAGTTCCGGGCCTTCTGCACACAAACCCCCTCTCCTAATAAATGTCTTCCAGTTCGAGGCAGGCTCTCCCATTAAAATTTTTATACTGCAGTCTGCAGCTGGGCTGTCTCACTCAAAAATGGCATGGGCAGTTTGGGCACTGAGCAGGACTAGGAGGAAATCACTCTGCTCCTCCTGCTGCTGGGGGTGCCACCACCACCCAATCAAGTCAAAAGGACAAGAGGTGCCTGCTGAAAATACCGGAGAAACAAGTAGGAGGGAGACCACACAGAGCACCAGCGCTGAATCACTCCACTGCCCACTCCATAGAAAAGCATTCCTGAGCGACGCTTCAGCTATTGGTGCTTTGTTGCTAAGTAACAGTAGCTGAAGCGCTACTCAGGAATGCTTTTCTATGGGGCGGGTGGGCAGAGTGATTCAGCGCTAGTGTGCTGTGTGGTCTCCTTCCTATTTGTTACTCCAGTATTTGCAGCAGGCACTGCTTATCCTTTAGACTTCAGGCAGCAGTGGCACTTAGAGCAGCGATACCTGGTGAGAGCGGGGGTTGCACCCCCGACGGCACCCCTTATGATGCATCGCCAAGTGCCCCCCTGCTCCTCTAACCTAGTTTTGGCCCTGATATAGGGGGGATTTACTAAAACTGGAGCGTGCAACATTTGGTGAAGCTGTGCATAGTAGCCAATCAGCTTCTAACTTTAGCTTGTTCAAATCAGCTTTGACAAAAAAAACTGGAAGCTGATTGGTTTCTATGCACCAGATTTTGCACTCTCCAGTTTTGGTAAATCAACCCCATAATATTAAATATAATATATTAAAATAATTATAATAAATATAATATTAAATGATTCTAACTATTCTAAAAAAGAAAACCTGAATCTCAGTGTTCCTGGTTATGTGCGCAGTGTTAGATTTAGACATTGGGGTGCCTGGGGCAAAATATGCAAAACATAAAATAACTCAATATTCCACAACAAAAGTTGTGGAATATTGAGTTATTTTATGTTTTGCATATTCTATATATTGTTGGATACTTATTTATAAAATTCTTTTCTATGTATAATTTTATAAATTTACAGTTTTATAATTTCCTATATATACAGTTATGCCCAACAGTTTGCACATCTTTGCAGAAATTGTGAAATTATGGCATTGATATTGAAAATATGACTGATCATGCCACAAAATGCTCTTTTATTGAAGGATGATGATCATATGAAGCCATTTATTATCAAATAGTTGTTTGGCTCCTTTTTAAATCATAATGATAACAGAAGTCACCCAAATGGCCATGATCAAAAGTTTACATACCCTGGAATGTTTGGCCTTGGTACAGACACACAAGGTGACACACACGGGTTAAAATGCCAATTAGAGGTTAATGTCCCACATCTGTGGCTTTTTAAATTGCAATTAGTGTCAGTGTATAACTAGTCAATGAGTTTGTTAGCTCTTACGTGGAAGCAAAGACTAGGCTAGATACTGAGCCATGGGGATCAGAAAAGAACTGTCAAAAGTGCTGCGTAACAAGGTAATGGAACTTTATAAAGATGGAAAAGGACATAAAAGATGTCCAAACAACTATTTGAAAATAAATGGCTTCATATGATCATCATCCTTCAATAAAAGAGCATTTTTTGGCATGATCAGTCATATTTTTAATATCAATGCCAAAATTTCTGCCAGGGTATGCAAACTTTTGAGCACAGCTGTATATCTGACACACATTGTGTTCATAGTGCTCTCAGGTCAGTTGTCTATGTATAGCACATTGTGGTTCATTTTTTGCTTTGGTTTACGAAATGTAGGACTGCTGAGTCCTGTTGTCCCACAGCTGTGACCCTGCTCATTCCTATATATAGCTGCAGGATAGTGTTTCCCCCTAAGCCTGTAGAAAGCGCTAGAGGCTTTGAGCGAGTAGCCTGATCTCTTGCTGCTTCTTCCAACCCTCCTCCACTTCTGGTCATGTCACATCCACCTTGCTTTCCACGCTTGTTGGTGTGGACTTCAGGGTTCCAGCCAGGGTTCCCCAGCCATCTCTACACCATCTACAGCTGTGTGAATTTAACCTGATGGTACCTGTGGGACAGAGAGGAGCGGTGGACTATGCACAATAGATGAGCCACTATATGTTCTTTCTCCTGTGAGTGTTTTTAACCCTTTGTGAATAAACCACACTCTTAATAATACACTGTGGTGGCGTTTCCCCCCCCCCCCCCCTTCTTCTTTTGTTCCATTGATAGACTTGCCTAAAATCAGCTTGTTGGATTTTTTAACATGCGATTACTGCTGGCATCTATAGCCGCTAGCAGTAATCATTGCGTTCCGTCTGCTAGAAAGGCTTCCTGCTCCATGATGGATGGAAAGAAAATTGCATAATCTTTGAGCTGTCTAACTCATCAAACTGTATCTTCTTAAGGATACTGCTCTCAACAGCCAGTAGGCACAAAGCATATAGTATTTCATGGCTCATCATGGTTCTCAGATAATTCTTTACCAATTCGCTGAATGACCTCTCTCCCAAACAGTTAGTAATCATCATCCCCATATATATTCTAAGAGCTGCATTAACACCTGAAAACGTATAAAAAAGCCCATCATCATGTAATAAAACTGCCTGCTGAGATGGAGCGAGACATGAAAAAAGTGTGGCAAACGCTACAAACTGGAGAATTTCCTCAACGAACACACTGCTGAAGTTTCGAGGGAAAAAAAAATTCATTTTTTTTTTTGTTAATAAAGGAAGTCTGGAGCCTTCTCTGGCATGGGAGCCCCCTCTGGAAGGGGGGGCCTGGGGCAATTGTCCCTTTTGTCCCCTTATACATCCCCCTTATACATCCAGCACTGCGTTTGGCCAGATTATTACCAAAGAAACAAAGCTCACAGCAGATAACACAAGAACAGTGCAAGAGATGCCTGATATTGTACCTTGGTGCAGTCTTCTGGGAAAAACAGGAGATCCAATCACGTCAGAAGAAAATTTGATTTTTGGGGTGATCTGTATACAGTGTACAGAAGTCCCCAGTATTGCCACAATTACAAACAAACAATGTGGGTTTTTTTGCAAGTTATAGAAAATCATAGTTGATTACAGACTAAAATTATATAATATAAATGTGTTTAGCAAAAGTGAAATGTGGGCTTAGTGGGTTTTTTTTTTTTGCTCCTGATTAGACTGCAATTAGCTGTTTCTGATACTAAACTACTTTTGGAAATAACTTCAGTCTGTTAGTATTTTGATAAACATACTGTTCTGTTTCTTGCTGCTTTGAAATGTTTTTCTTTAACTGGACCAGATTGTGATTAGCATCACATAATTATTACGCTCTGCTGTGTGTATTAAACACTCCTACAGCACTATTTTCTTGTGGCTTTGGCATTCTTGTACTTTCAATGTACTAAAAAAAGACTGACAGCTCTGTGTAAAAAATAAAAGCTGCGTACTTGCAAAATAGCAGAACATGCAATTAGATTGTCTGTTGAATGAATACTTCAGCCTGGATTCCAAAATGTACCTTTTATTTTTAAGGGTTTTCCTTGCTGTGGCAACTTCCAAACATGCACAAAGATCACTACATTGCCAAAAGTATTGGGACACCCCTCCAAATCATAGACAGATCTAGACAGATTGATACAGGTGTAGAAAATCAAGCACCTAGGCATGCAGACTGCTTCTACAAACATTTGTTAAAGAATGGGTCGCCCTCAGGAGCTCAGTGAATTCAAATGTGTTATCGTGATAGGTTGCCACCTGTGCAATAAGTCCATCCATGAAATTTCCTTGCTACTAAATATTCCAAAGTTAACTGTTAGTGGTATTATAACAAAGTGGAAGCAACTGGGAACAACAGCAACTCAGCCACAAAGAGGTAGACCACATGAAATGACAGAACAGGTTTAGTGCATGCTGAAGCGCACAGCGCACAGAAATTTGCCAACTGTCTGAAGAGTCGATAGCTAAAGACCTCCAAACTTCCTGTGGCCCTTAGATTAGCACAACAACAGTGCGCATAAAGCTTCATGGAATGGGTTTCCATAGCCGAGCAGCCACATTCAGGCCTTACATCACCAAGTGCAATACAAATCGTTGGATGCAGTGGTGTAAAGCACATTGCCACTGGACTCTAGAGCAGTGGAGACGTGTACTCTGGAGTGACAAATTATGCTCCTCTGTCTGGCAATCCAATGGACAAGTCTGGGTTTGGAAAGGTACTTGCCTGACTGCATTGTGCCAAGTGTAAAGTTTGGTGGAGGGGGGATTATGGTGGGGAGTTGTTTCTCAGGGTTTGGGCTTGGCCCCTTAGTTCCAGTGAAGGGAACTCTTAAGGCATCAGCATACCAAGACATTTTGGACAATTTTATGCTCCCAGCTTTGTGGGAACAATTTGGGGATGGCCCCTTCATGTCCCAACATGACTTTCACCAGTGAGCAAAGCAAGGTCGATAAAAGACATGGATGAGCGAGTTTGGGGTGAAGGAACTTGACTGGCCTGCACAGAGTCCTCACATCACCCCGATAGAACACCTTTGGGATAAAGTAGAGCAGAGATGGCAAGCCTGGCCTTCTTGTCCGACATCAGTGCCTGACCTCACAAATGAACTTCTGGAAGAATGGTCAAATATTCCCATAGACACACACCTAAACCTTGTGGACAGCCTTCCCAGAAGAGTTGAAGCTGTTATAGCTTGTCAGGGCAGGAACGCTGGAATGGGCAGGCAGGCCTATGGTACGGTCACGCTGCGACTGACGACAGCCACTACCCACAGACCAGAGTCTCTCAGGGCGCGGAGTCTAAGCCCCAGGCTACCCTTCACCAGGGCCCCTGATGGTGGGGATGGACTTGACGCAGCCTGAGACCAGGTCGCGGCCCCCGAGTGACCCCAGCTGCGATAACGACTGCCGCCAATGGCGTACAGCTGGTGGGAGCTAGATGGGAACACGAGTAGAGTAGTCAGACAAGCCGGGTCAATAACAACGGAGCAGACAGTACTAGACGGTAGGCAAAGAATACTCAGGTCACGCGCCGGGTTCAGCAACGGGAGGTCAGGTAAAGGGTTAACGCAGAGAGTAGTCTTGTCCAAGCCGAGTCGGTTACCAGGAGAGCAATGGGAACAACACAAGAGCTTGCAACATAGCAACATACAGGACACAAGTGCAGAGCACACTTGCAGAGAGCAGGCTTAAATGTGCTCAACCACACCCTTCTGAGGAGGAGCCGCAGAAGCCTGAAGGCATAAAGGTTCCCACCATGCTTTGCAGAAAACCAAGATGGATGCCAGCTCATGGAGATGCACAAGCTCTGATGAAAGGTAGGACCTTGACATAGCTGCACAGGGTAGGCCAACTCAATATTGAACCCTACAGACTAAGAGTGGGATGCTATTAAAGTTCATGTGCATGTAAATGCAGGTGTCCCAATACTTTTGGCAATATAGTGTATGTGCGAATTAAAGTTTTCTGATGCCCATGTACGAAACTAGCAGTATGAAAATTCCTTGCTGTAGGTAGACATTTTTAATGCCACAAACAATTGTACCTTCACACATAACCCTTTAGAGCTCCTTCACACCTATCCTATCTGATGTGCTGCTCTTCATTGGAATGCCCTGTCAACGGTACAAATTTTGCAGTACACCACAACAGGCAATAATGTGTAGGTGAATTGGTTAAGTGTGTTGGGGTGCCATTCAAGATAATCGGCACCATGAACCATGGTTTGTGCATTAGGGTACCCAATGTTTGAACATGCACATTACCACAAGCAGATATGTGAAGCTGGCCTAAGACTTACTGTTACCCATAACACCATAAAAACTAACGTTTAACCTACCATTTATGATTGTGTGTGTTTTATAGGTTTGTGCAGATGACATCTACTTGTTTAAATAGTGTATTAGAGCCAAGGAGCCTATGACCTTATATAGCACTATATTAAAGTCCTCAGTGCACTGGGACAGTTTTTGAGATTTCTGATCCTTATGATCTCTATTTGGTTCTCCGGGAAATTCCATCTGATGCTCTGATTACCCCTCAATCTGTTCTCTTATTCCTGCTGTCAGCCAATCTTCAACATGACTTTACCAAATGCATTTGATACAACACTGCCTGAATATAGCTTGTTCTGACTTTTGCTTGTTTAAAATATTCTCTTGTTGGATGACTGTGTACAGTTGGCTGCTCATCAGCTTTCACCAGGGAGACAACAGTGCAGGTGGCAGCCTGGAAGTGCCATATATAGAAATACAGCAGATTTTGGGCTGCTGAAAATGAACAGGATCTCCTTAGTATCTTTTCCTTAATCAACAGCATTCTTCAGCATTATCCTGCCTAATATAATAAGCCGCTAGAACAGTTAATGAAAGGAAAATGGCAAGAAAAATGAAAACAAATAACAATTTAAACAATTCACTACACCATTAAGAACAATTTATTCGACAAGCAGCCACTGCTACTTTTTGGATGTGATAAATGTCACAAACCAAGCAAAGGGAAATCAACATGGACCCTTGGATAGTCAATGTTTCCAGCAAACTGAAGTAGTCCTATGTCCCAACAGCAATATTTGTTACAGGGTACTGTCCGAAACAGTAGTAATAGCTTAAAGTTGCCTTGAGCTCACAAAAGAATGCTGAAGAGCATAGCGCTACATCATTATGTGGCGTTGTTCTGTACAACATTCAGGAACACTCACCACCAAGGACAGAAAAGGACACTACATGTCGTGTGACCAAGGACAATTGCCAAAAAGATATGTATACAGGGGGTGATGTACTGGGGCTTCTCATATTTCTTAGGGGTTTCAGTGGGGACATCTCCCCATTGGAATCCCTATCTTTCTGCTACAACTGGGGTGTTCCCACTTCTTTTGTTCAACTCATCATTAAACAAAAGGGATGGAAAACTCAAGCAGAAGAGTGCATCTTTCTCAAAATAGCTAGAATAATTGTGCAGATCTGAGAAATTAAAGCAAACCTCACCAATGAAGTCCTTGAAATATATAAAGAAAACATTGACTTAAATGAAAACTGTCAGGGTAAAAACATATGAAATGCTACTGCAAACTAATCTTTGAAGATGGAAGCTATTTAATGAACAACACAGGCACTTCCTCATGAATCATAAAATATATCTACAGCCAAAACCATTTTTGCAGCATTAAAACAGGAGGGAAGGGTTACGACCCAAGTAATTTTTTTATGTTTTCTTAAAGACAACGGGAAGTGGGAGGAAGTCTCTAAACATTGGAACAAGGAAGATTTCTTCTCCATTCCTGTGAGTGTGATAAAAAATGTGGATTTTCCATCACCTTAAGTCCTAGTGACAATGGTTACTAGGATAAACAAACAAGAGGATGGTTCCTAAAGGCAACAGCCTTGCTTTGCTTCAGTGTTCATAAATTGGTCTCTTAGTTATGTCCACTCCATTACTTTTACATTTGTATTGCAGGATGAGTATAATTACATTATTCTTTAAATAAGTTGGGTAATGAGAATACAACACATTTAAATGCTTTGCAATATTTTTTAAATGGGAAAGAAATGGTAGAATGGCTTGTGGATGGTTATAGGACAGTAAAATACATTCCTCATCCAAGATTTTTTTTTCAACAGCTTTACTCACTGTACAGCTCTGATTTTAGTTAAGGATATTGCACACTATACGTATTCCAGCTCTTTCACACGCCTGGCCAAAATTTTATATTTTTAGCTGAGCGTGATGTAATCGTGCATTTAAATTAGGTTAATCTATTCATGGGTTGCTATGACTGCAAAGTACTTTTTCACTGTAATCTTTAACACATAATACATCTCAGACATAAAAGTGACAATGTTGTCTTTGTAGTTTTCCATTTGCCTATAATAAATAAGTGCACAAATAATTAAAAAGACATTCAACCTCTTTACTGGTAAGGCACTATTGACCACCACTAGTTGGGTATAACACCTAAAACTATATGAGCAATCCTTAGGAAAACCACAAACAAACATGGCTACTTTACGATATAGTTTTTTTAGTTTCTAAGTTAATAATCATCACAACGGCAAGTTACTACTTTATGTTCCTGTGAAAGACGCTAGGGGGGGTATTTATAAAAAATTTTTAAAAATACACCCCAATGTTTTGCAATATATTTTATGCAATATTTAATGCTCTCACACCCATTTCTTTTTTGCACTAGATGACCCATTTGACATCATTTATACATCATGTAAACTGTTTTATGCTCCTTAGATATATGTCAGTATTGCTGCCTTTCCTTGTAACTGCCATTTTCTTTCAATAAAGTGTTGCTCCTCATGGAGAAAAAAAAAAACACGGAGAGGAACAAGAAAAAGCCATTCAGACTGAAAAGAAAAAGTGAGACATTCTCATCGCTTTCTTTAAAATACTGAGTGAAAGAAGGAGTGTGTGCTAGCTTTTCTTATCTTCTACGGAGTATGAAAAGAAACAAAGTGCTAGATTTCTGCATAGCTGATATCCAGTACCCCTGTGAAGCACAGGTCCTGTAGAAGACACCAAAGGTTAGATTTACCAAAATGCCAGCCGTTCCTCAGCCTACTGACCCTCTCCTCATCACTTCTTCATCGCAGCAGCATAAATGACGATAACCATTGCAAGTTTATTTTATTACAGCTGATTAACTTATGTATTTCTTCTTTAATTTTACTTCTCTTCTGATAATATATTTGGTCATTTGATATCATTATTCATACTGTATTATAAAGAACAGCAGATCTCTGAATAATGAATGATAAGGCAGAACGTTTCAAAGAAACAACTGAAAGTAAATTTTTAGACAATAGTACAATTGATCCACTAACTCTGGTTACATTTCATCGTGATAGTAACCTGGCATCGTTACATTGTGCTGGCAGC